CGTCAGGCCCTCAAATAAAATATTTAGTGGTATTTGCTTCCCAAAGAGGCAAGCATGGGCTCTCATTGGCATCTAGAGCGCTCAGAATAGGATGTCCTGGGAGGCTCTGGTAGGAGAGTTCCAGAGCAGCGTGTCCTGCGTTGAGACTGGGTGGGGGAGAGGGAAACTGTAGAAGAACAGAGACGAGGCAAGTTTTGGCTCTTGAGTATGTATGTGATGATGTGACTTTGTCATCTAATAGAGATGTGACAGAAAGAAGGAGGCAAACTCCTGAGGTTGACAGCAGAAGATCAGGGTAGGAGGCTTCTACCAAACTGAGGATGGAAAATTCATTCTAAGGCACATCATGGATTCTAAGGCAGAGCCAGAGGTGAGGAGCTGGAAAGATCAACAAATAAATTGCTAACGATAAAGGCTATTGTATGCTGAACACTTAAATGGGCCAGGCACTGTTCTAAGTGCTTTATATATATTCATTTATCTAACGGTGCTATGAGGTAGATACTAGAACCAAACTCGTTTATAGATAGTGAAATAGCATCACCAAATGACTCATTGCTTTGACCCAGTTTACACAGCCATAGGCTCTGTTTGAATACAAGCATCTAAGTTCAGAGCAAATGCATTTAACCATTACACTACACTGCCTCATCAGAGGCACAAAGATGGGTGCCTTCCCCATTACTATGAACTTGACTACAAGGCTTGATCCTTGCCATCTGGGTCTGACTTTGGAGCAGATTCTTGGTAACGTCAACCTTGGCATAGAAAGACAGAGGCTCTCAGCTTGCCATTGAAGTCAGCTGTCTTTATGAAAGCCACACTCCCAGAGCGGAATGTGAGCCTCCCCTGCCACCCCTGCACTGCAGGAGCTGACACCTCCTCTTGACTCCAGCAGCAATGCAGCTGCTCTCCGATGGGCGATCCCTGAGCCCCATGGAGTGAACTCGCTTGGCTGGTCCCCAGGAGTGTGCGTCCCAGACCAGATGCTGATTGAGGGATGAGAGGAAAATAGCCCAGTTGTGCTGGCCTTACAAGGTAGGATGAAGGGACTCCAGCTGCCATCGGAATCACAGACTCTCAGAGCTGAAGGAAGCAAGTCTCAAGGCATCGTTTAATCTGAAAGAAGAAATCTTACAGATGGGCTAATTTCAACACCCTCTATTTTAAGATAAAGAAATAGGCTCAAGGCAATGGTAGACCAGCCTAAAGCCCCACAACTCATGAGTGATACAGGCAGAATTTGAACCCAGGACTACCACATCCCCTGACCCTTCATCTTGCCCCATAACCCCATGCATTCCAGCCAGCAAATCAATTTTCCCATCCACCATCTTTATTAGTTCCCTAGGGCTGCAGTAACAAATAACTACAAACTTAGTGGCTTAAAACAAGAGAAATTTATTCTCTCACCGTTCTGGAGGTTAGAAGTACAAAACCAAGGGGTTGGCAGGGTTGGTTCCTTCTGGAGGCTCTGATGGAGATTCTGTTCCCAGCCTGTCTCCTAGCTTCTGGTGGTGGCTGGCAGCCCTTGGTGTCCCTTGGCTTGTAGACGCACCACTCCAGCCTCTGCCTCTGTCGTCACGAGGCATTATCCCTGTGTCTGGTCTCTGTGTCCAAATTTCCCTCTTCTTAATTAGGACATCTTATAAGGCCCACCCTAATCCGGTGAGACCTCATCTTAACTTGACTACTTGTGCAAAGACCCTATTTCCAAACAAGGTTATAGTCACAGGTAGCAGGGGTTAGAACTTGAACATATCTTTTAGGGGGAACATACCCCACAACACTGTCTAACTCTCAGGGACCGTATACTTCACCAGCCTCCCTACAGTCTGCGGAGGGGCTGTGTTGGGACATGTGCAGTGATATGACAAAGCAGATCACCTTGAATCTGTTTTCTGGACAATCTCCTTTCTCATGCCACATGCTTCCCAGACTGAATCCCTCCACTGGGCCAGGAAGGGCTGGGACCAAAGGTCCACCTGCCATGTTCATTGCCATGTAAAGGAAGAAAATAAGCAAAAAAGAAGTCAGGAGCTCTGGCAGGATTCGTGAAGTGGGGTCTCCTGGGGAGACTTGAATGATTCCAAGAAAAACTCACCTAAGTTGAGCACTCACTGGACACCAGCGGCCAAGTTAAAGGTATCCATGCATTAGCCCATTTACTCTCATGACAACCTGAGAGGTAGGTCCTGTAATTATCTCTGTTGTACCAGAAAGGAAAATGACGCTTGACTTGCCCAAGGATCCCAATTTACTTCCTAATTCTGCCTAGCAAAAAAAGCTACTCGCTCTTCCAACTGTGTCTTGGGAGGATGCTGCGCAGGGAGGTGAGATGGTTAATGTTACCCTCACACTGTGTCTTTTTCCTTCTATGTTTTATTATTATTATTATTGTACTTTAGAAGAAGGTTTACAGAACAAACTAGCTTCTCATTAAACAGTACACATATTGTTTTGTGATGTTGGTTAACAACCCTACAACATGTCAACACTTTGCCTTCTCAACCTTGAGTTGCCAATCACCAGCTTTCCTGTGCCCTCCTGCCTTCTAGTCCTTGCCCCTGGGCTGATATGCCCCTTTAGTCTCACTTTGTTTTATGGACCTATCTAATCTTTGGGGGAAAGGTGGACCTCAGGAGTAACTTCTTTACTAAGCTAAAAGGGTGTCTGGGGGCCATACTCTCGGGGTTTCTCCACTCTCTGTCAGGCCAGTAAGTCTGGTCTTTTTTTGTGAGTTAGAATTTTGTTGTACACTTTTCTCCAGCTCTGTCCAGGACCCTCCCTTGTCACACTGTGTCTTTTATGTTCACTCTGCTACCAGGACCCCCTTCCTTCATCCATGGGCTCAATAGGTATGTGCAGGTGCGTGTGGAGAAGGCAGGAGTGTGCTGCCCATGAACTGCATGCAGTGGTGTCTCAGGGAGCACTTTCTAAAATGCAGAACCCCCAGTTCAGAGGGATAACCCTTATAGCCATCACCCTTACAGCTCCCTGTGGTACACACTGATCCCCGCCTTTGGCCAAAGGAGCTTTCCCACCCAGAGTCAGTTCCCTGCCCAGCTGGAGAATTTGGGGATTCTGTTATTTCCTTTCCACAGCTCCTCTTGAGGAATTCACGTCCTGCTACCGGCCTCAGGACATAGCTAAAAATAACCTCTGGTGTTCAAACCGAAAGCTCCGTCTGTTGGGAGCTCTGCCGGTGCGGTGCGCGCGTGGGGCCGGAAGGGCTGTGTCAGAGGAGCTGAGGTCAGCCTGGGCCCCATGCTGCTGCCTTCCTCTTTCCAAGGAAGCCTGGGGCCTCAGGAGTCACTCCAGAACGCCCTGGCAGAGCCTATTGGAAGAGGGGGTCAGGTGGGACGTAGCCCTGGCACCATTGTGGCTGTCAGACCTTGGGTACAGGGTTGAGGAGGAGGGAGGGGACTTTTTAAAGAAAAAAAAGAAAAAGAAAAAAGCCGTGGGGACTCTCAAGGTGGTGTCTATTCTAATTGTAACCCAGTGCAGCCAGACTGGGGGAGGGGGGCAGCCTCTCCTAAGCTGCCTTGGAGCGAATTCTCCAGCCTTAGCTCAGGTGTTTCCATTCCTGCCGCCTCCTGTGCCCAGAGTTCTGTCTGGACTTGTCTGAGGGGGGTGCTGGGCAATCTGTCCAGCTGGAGAAAAGATTTTTCTGCTAGATGGTCCTGCTCCTGCTACCGCTGTCCCCTCCGTAGAAGCCAGGAGCTGCACTGTTATAGTGACAGGGCAGGTACCTCTGTCTGACCTCCTGTCTCCCCACCTGGGAGTCTCTAGAAGCCCCCTCAGAATCACTGCCTTGCCTCTCTGGGCAGCTTCCACCCAGAACAGAGGGAGTGAGCACCAAGTCCTGGCAGCAGAAAAGCGCTGGGGCCTGTGAGTCAGCCTTTGGGCATGGCTGACAGAGGTCCCTAAGCAGTCCTGAGACCCAGGCAGCAGCTGGAAGAGACTCATTCTCAAGGCACTTCCCTTTGCTCCTCCCTGTATTTTCCCAAATGTAGAACTCCTGCCCCAGGTGGCTGACGCTGACCCAGCTAGCCAGTCCCTGTAGCCAGGAGCAGGCTCCCGTGTGCTCCTGCTGTGGAGAAGCAGAGGTTGAAGAAGTTTCCCCAGGGTCTGGCCGCCTGACTCACTGGGACGGCTGCGACCAGTCATCCGCCTGTCCCAGAGAGGGACTGGGCGCTGTCTGTCCAGCTTCCCGCCCAGCTCCTCAGGAGAACACGGGGGAATCCCAGTCATGCTGGCCAAGCATATTTCACTTTCCTAAAAAGTGTCAACAGCTACAGATCACGGATTCTTCTGTCTGGAGAGAAGGAGGCTGAGGGGGAGTGAGGGGCACTGTTCTTCACTGACCACCCCCCCACCCCATGAAGGACAGACACAAGAAAGTAAAGAAGCGCAGCAGTTGTAGGGATGGGAGTCTGACATGAGAAGGGATTTTATTTGTGGTATCAAACTCTGGGAGTAGCAGTCCAGGGTGCCTGGGGTCAGTGCCTTCCTAGCAAGCTATTAGAAAGCAGGAACGACTTCCACTCCACGGGAGCGTGCAGACCTGAGGAGTGGATGATGGGAAGACTGACTTTAGTCTGACACCAGGCTGCAATGGCTGGGTGAACTCAAACCATCTTTTAACCTCTCTGGGAGATAAAAAAAAGATGTCTTAAGAGGACAGAAATAGAGACGCTTTGTAAAGTAAAAAGTATTTTATAGTGTAAAGGCTGGAGACCAAAATAGATAATAGGATTCCCTGCACATCCCCAAGAGGGAGAAAGTGTGTTAAAAATAGAAAAACTGAAATACAGAAGGAAGAGATGCACAGAGCTAGTCAGGACCCTGGGCCAAGCTATCCTGTTCACCCCTCCCACAACTGGTTTTCCATCTGACCGTCTGCCTTGTGTTTTCCAGAACCATGTGAGGGCCAACCCAGGAAGGTGCACTCGATGAGAGCTCAGAGGATCTGTCTCCTCGCCCTCGCCCTACTCAGAATGGAACAGAGGAGGCCCTGGCCACGGGCCCCTGAGGTTGACAGCTGGTCAGTGGTCATACTCTCAGTGGTCTGGGTGCTGCTGGCCCCCCCAGTGGCTGGCATGCCTCAGTTTAGCACCTTCCACTCTGAGAACCGTGACTGGACCTTCAACCACTTGACTGTCCACCGGGGAACGGGGGCTGTGTACGTGGGGGCCATCAACAGGGTGTACAAGCTGACGGGCAATCTGACCATCCAGGTGGCTCACAAGACAGGGCCAGAGGAAGACAACAAGTCCTGCTACCCACCCCTCATTGTGCAGCCCTGCAGCGAGGTGCTCACCCTCACCAACAATGTCAACAAGCTGCTCATAATTGACTACTCTGAGAACCGCCTGCTGGCCTGTGGGAGCCTCTATCAGGGGGTCTGCAAGCTGCTGAGGCTGGACGACCTCTTCATCCTGGTGGAGCCGTCCCACAAAAAGGAGCACTACCTGTCCAGCGTCAACAAGACAGGCACCATGTATGGGGTGATCGTGCGTTCCGAGGGTGAGGATGGCAAGCTCTTCATCGGCACCGCTGTGGACGGAAAGCAGGATTACTTCCCGACCCTGTCCAGCCGGAAGCTGCCCCGCGACCCCGAGTCCTCAGCCATGCTCGACTATGAGCTACACAGTGATTTTGTCTCCTCCCTTATCAAGATCCCCTCGGACACCCTGGCCCTAGTCTCCCACTTTGACATCTTCTACATCTATGGCTTTGCCAGCGGGGGCTTCGTCTACTTCCTCACGGTCCAGCCTGAGACCCCCGAGGGTGTGGCCATCAACTCCGCTGGAGATCTTTTCTACACCTCACGCATCGTGCGACTCTGCAAGGATGACCCCAAGTTCCACTCGTACGTGTCCCTGCCCTTTGGCTGCACGCGGGCTGGGGTGGAATACCGCCTCCTGCAGGCCGCTTACCTCGCCAAGCCCGGGGACTCCCTGGCCCAGGCTTTCAACATCAGCAGCCAGGACGACGTGCTTTTCGCCATTTTCTCCAAAGGGCAGAAGCAGTATCACCACCCGCCTGACGACTCTGCCCTCTGTGCCTTCCCTATCCGGGCCATCAACCTGCAGATCAAGGAGCGCCTTCAGTCCTGCTACCAGGGCGAGGGCAACCTGGAGCTCAACTGGCTGCTGGGGAAGGATGTACAGTGCACCAAGGCGGTAAGGAGGTGCCCACCCTGCTCCGCTCCTGATCTGGGGTTGGGGTGCGGACTTCCTGTTGATGTCCTCCTGCCCACCCTCTTCCCAGGCTTCCAAGGTCCTGGAGTGAGAGAGGTTTTCAGTTCCATGCTATCAGGAGACAACCAATGAACATAGAGTGTTACTAATACCAGACACTGGGGGGCATGCTTGTCAATTGATTAGTTGATTCATTTAATCACTCAAAAAATATAGATACTGAGTGCCTTCACTGAGCCAGGTGCTATTCTGAGCTTCGGCAGAGAACCATGCAGGCAAAGATACCTGCCTTCATGGAGGGTACATACTAGTGAGGCAAGACAAATAAATACATAAATTTAGAGCATGTCAAATGGTAATAATTGCTATGGAGAAAAATGAAGCAGGGAAGGAGGAGAGGCAGTGCCAGAGGAGTTGACGCACTGAGAAAGTGGCATTTGAGCAAGGACTGAGAACAGTAGGGAAGTGAGCCAGGCAGGTGTCTGGAGAAAATGAGTTCAGAGAAAGGGAGAGCAGCAAGTACAGAGAATTCAAGGCATGGCTGGAGTGTTTGAGGGCCAGCAAGGAGGCCATGCAGCTGGATCAGGGTCTGTGTGAGAAAGAGGGGTAGGAGGCAAGGTCCGTCAGAGATAAGGGGACCAGATCTTATACTTGCAGGACCCTACAGGCCACTGTGACACTTAGTGAGGGGGTAGAGAAGGCAGTGGACATGTAAGTCAGAAGAGAGGGAAGAGAGACGAGCTTGACTGATGGATTGCAAACTGGAGAAGAATCAGAAGTCTGTGCAAACAGCAAAGGGAGGAAAGGGTCCAGACCTGAGGACTGCAGAGTTCAAATTAGCGGAGGGCACTGTCACGTCAGAGGGTCGGGATGCTGTCATGATCATCCATCCATCTGTCCCTCCATTGATCCACCATCCTTCAGTCATCTATATAACCATCTGCCTCTCCATCCATCCATTAATCATCCATCTATCCACTCACCCCTTCATCCGTCATCCATTCATCCACCCATTCCTCCTTGCATTTAACAAGTGGGTCCTGAAGACCTTCTGAGTGCCCAGCACTGTCCTAGGCACTGGGGATGCAAACAGAGAAAGACATACCACTACTCTCACAGATCTCATAATCTAGTGGGAGAGAGATATAAAAACAGGTGTAGCATAATGCAGTGGCTCAGAGTTTAGGCCTGTGAGACAAAGACCAGGGTTCCCATTCCACTGGTCTTCCATAACAGCTTCATAGCATCCTAATGTCTCAACCTTTCAGGTTTCTCATCTGTGAAATGAGAATGA